TTGAGGAGAAAGGGCGTGAGGTGTATGCACGCCACCTCCCGCGAGCGCGGCGGGATCGGAATTGCGGCCGGAGGGAAGGGCGAACCGCCGCCGCCGCCGCCATATACCATCAGGGACGACGACCGCGGCTCCCCCCAAACGCCAGGCGCTGGATCGGCAGTAGGGCTTGGGCGGCGCAGCGTAGGCCTCGAGCCACACGAGTCGCCGACAACCCCCCCTCATCGACGTGATGGCCGCACCCCGCTGCCGGCCGATGCAAGCTACCGCCTCCCCCGCACCAGCGATACTGGACGCGGCTCGCCGCCACGCGCCGGCTCGGAAGAGGGGCTATCGGCGGCGCAGCAGAGCGGCATGCGTCGTCATTCGAGCAGCACCAGGTCCCCTCTTCGACGTGACGGCCGCTCCCGGAGCCGGCCTGTGCGCGCCCGACCCACGCCCCCTCTCGCACCCCCCCCCGGGGGGGGGTGTGCTGTGACAGGAGATCGCACCGCAGCGGGGGGTGTGCGACGGTGTGTGACGGTGTGTGACGGTGTGGGTGGCGGGCGGGAGAGAGACGGGTGTGCGATGTTGTGACGATGTTGTGACGATGTTGTGACGGTGTTTTGACGGTGGTTTGAGGGTGTTTGCGTGTTTGAGGGTGTTTGACGGTGTTTGACGGTGTGTGACGGTGTGTGACGGTGTTTTGTCAGTGCTACAGAGGGGTTGAGAGGGCGTCCGACCGGCCTCTCTGCCGCCCGTCTCTCTCCTCCCTGTCTCCTCGGCGGTGCGTCCCTCTCGGGCAGGTCTCGGCAGGTGTCCCCCCTCGAGTGTCTCCCCTCGGCAGGCAGCAGCTGGCAGGCAGCAGCTGGCAGGCAGCAGCTGGCAGGCAGCAGCTGGCAGGCAGCAGCTGGCAGGCAGTGTCTCAGGCAGTTGTGTCGCGGCACTTGTCTCCAGGCGCCTCGGCAGGCAGCTCCACCCCCTCCACGGGCTCGTCGACGAAGGTGAGCGTGGGCTCGTCGTGCTCCACGGTGAGGTGGGCCTAAGAGGAGAAGGCTCCCGAGAAGGTGGAGGGGGAAGGGCGGCGAGGGGCGGGTCGGTGTGTGCTCCGGCGGCGGCGGCGGCCTCGAAGTGGGCTTGCAGCAGCCGCGGCGCGCTGCCGAGGGCCTTGGCCATCGCCGCGGCGAGCGAGTGCGGGTCGACGTTGACGCGAAAGGCGCGCTGCTCGTACCTGGCGGCGCTATGGGCGCAGGTGCAGGGGAGGAGGGCAGGTCGAGGAGGGAAGGGGGGGGAGGGGAGGGGAGGTGCACAGACGAACACGCGCTGGGGGGGCGGCCAGCAAGGGCGGGCTCAGCACAAGGGTAGGGGGGTGGGCACGTTCGGCATCCTCCGCGCCCCAAGGCAGGCTATGAAAGGTGCAAGGCCCGGCGTGCGTGCGTGCGTGTGCGTGCGCGTGTGCTCGTACCTTGCGGCGCCCTTCCCCGAAGGCCTTCCAACTTGCAGCCGGTACACGACGGTGAGTGGGCGAGTCTCGCCGGGGCCGTCGACCAGCACCGGGGAGAGGACAGGCACTACGACGCTCCCTTCCACCTCCTCCCCCTCGCCGCCCTCGCCCTCGTCGTCCGAGTCAGATGAGCGAGACCCGCCCGAGTCGCTCTCGCTGCCGATCGCTGCATTGATGGCGGCAGAGAGCTTCTCAGCGGCAGCGCTCGCTCCCTGTTGCGGCGCTGCCGCCCGGGGCGTGTGCTTGTCCTCTCGCGGCAAAATCGCCGCCTCCTCGTCCGTGGATTGGACGGTGGAAGCTCTGCCCGACGGTGCGAACTCGGCGCTCGCGATCGGAGTGTCGTGGAAGCGCACCTCAGCGTAGCCAAGCCACTTCTGAATGGTGCGCTGCGTCGCCCGCGCGATGCCGGGGTTTGCACATCGACAGCAACAACAACGCCAGCAAAATGGCCGTGAGCGACATCTTGAGACGCGGCGCCGCTACAGAAAAGAATTGAAGCCAGCGGTTTTGGCCGGTCCTCCCATTCCTCCCTTGGGTTGTCTGTTTTCTTTCTTTCTTTTTCTTCGGACATGGTACCTCCGATCGGGAGATGAGAGAGATTTTTGAAAACAAATCCTCGACTCTCACAGTGATTTGGGCTCGGCAGCTTGTCAGCCCTAATAGATTTTTAGCAAAACCAAACAACTCTAACACTCACACATCATTTGGGGCCTGGAGCCCCTGGAGACTGCAGTTTATGATCGTTTAAAGTACGTTTTGGGGGGGGGGGGGGACAGCTTTGCCCGGTCGAATTCATTTGGGGCGTTTGGAGGACTGTGTTGGGGATCCTGCAGACGCGCTAACCCCACTGTAAATACGATGCATACCTCAACGGGAGGGCACTCGCAGCAGGCGGGGCCGAATCCTGCAGCCTTAGTCTTGGCTCGATCCGGCGGCATGCCACGGGTAGGCGCGTTGAGGCTTGCCGCCTCCTCTTGCGCCAAAGCGGCCTGCGCCACAGCTTGTGTTTGCTGCCAGACAAGAGGAGGAGCAGGGCCGTTTGGCGATAGGGCCAGGCAATCGTATTCGCCCGGCGGGCGTTACGGATTCGAGCAACACCCGGGTCGAGGTTGCTGCGCCTCTCGGTGCAGTGCTGCAGCATTGTACGCCTGTTGCGGGCGATGGAGCATCGGCGGCAGCCGGAATCCTGGCTCTTCCGGATGCAGGTCCGGCGGCATTTGCGGCGGTGTCTTTGCAGAGCCCTGTTCACGCGCGCGCGAGACGTGCAGACAGGGTTGCCAGGTGAGAGCGAATGGCGCGGTTCACGCCTCGCACAAGAGAGAGAGAGAGATGCGCTCTGCATGGTGGAACATATAAAGAGAGCGAGTACTTGGGCGAGTAGGCCGTGCGGTCGACGCTGCCGCGCGCGACCTTGCGCGCGAGGCGGCGCAGCTTGAGAACGGCGGTGGGTGGGCGAGAAGCCGCCGCCGAACGGTATCGTGGAGCAGCAGGTTGAAGTTGTTGCGCTTGACAAAGATCGCGTCGTGGTAGAGACCGCGATGCGCCTCGACGTAGCCGTGGCCGTTCTTGTGGGAGAAGGGTTGGCCGGGCTGCCCGCGCGCCTTGCAGCCCATGTTTAGGCGGCGGGCCTTCTCCTCGGTGCTGCCGAAGGCGTAGGAGTGGCCAACGGAGGCGGGTGTGCCGCCACTCGAGGCGTTGCCAACGCCCGCCGAGGAGGTCTTGAGGAGGGGCGTCCAGAGCTTGACTTCATTCACTTCATCGCATCCCCCCGGCCCTGCATGGGGTTCTGCGAGGTCGGTCTTGTACCCCTCATTGTTTTTGTCCTCAGCCGAAGCTGGGGCCGGTCTTGTAGCCGAGAGAGCCCACGCCAATGAATTCGACGCGGTCGAGGGGAGAGGCCTTGCGGGGAGGCCAGCGAGCCGGCGATCGTTGTACAGAGAGAGAGTGGCTGCCAATTCGAGGACTGGGGCTGATCGAAACAAGACAAGCCGTGGGTGCGGGTGTCTCTACCTTGTCGGAGGATCCGACCGACGGACGCACGTCAAACTATTCGTTCACATTCACGGCGTGTACACTATAGTAATTCGGCCCTCCGCGAGCCCCTAGCTCGCCGACGGCGAGAGAGATGCCACGAGGGGTCGCGGTGGCCAACATCGCCAGGCTCCCTAGCTCAACCGACGACCCTCGTGCCTCTGGGATCGACGGCCGATCGTCATTCAGCAGCAGCGGGAGCACATGGTCGGAAGGGTGCTTTTGTCGCTTTCGGCAACACCGAGGCGTTCTACCGGAACATGGTCGTGGGGCATGGGCCCTACTGCGAGGAGGGAGAGGGAGGGGGGGAGGGAGAGGGGGGGGGGGAGGAGTGTGAGGGGTACGGGGGCGAGGGCATGGAGGGGGAGAGGAAGAGCAAGGGCGAGGGGGGGCAGGGGACGGGTCGCTGGCATCCTAGGGGGGGACGGGTGGTGGGCGGCGACTGCCGCATACCGTCCTATGGCGGTGAGTATCGCTACGCCAGGGAGGACAAGGACGTCGACGTGCAGCTGCTGCTGTTCGAGTCGTTCGGTGGGTTCGGAAAGGGGGTCCGCGAGATCCTCTGGAAGGCGGCGAACGTGCTGCAGAACAAGCTGACGCGGGCCCAGTACCTCGACGAGGTGACTGGGACCACCAAGAATTGGCTAGGGCTGCAGAAGCAGCGTATCTCAGTCGTTCTTCACACGGCAATCGCAGAGCAGATTGCGAATGAGCTTGCCTGCGGCGAGGGCGGTCGAGTGCACGGAGCTAAGTGCCTCGCCGTCCTCGCAGGAGTCGCTTAGGTTGGCCGCTTTGTGTATTGTCCACTATGAAAGTGTGGACCCGCGTGAACAGCAGCTCCTGACCACGGCGCCGCGGGCGCCTGTTGATAGGTCCAGATGATAGCCCTGGATAGGCAATGCATACGCCTAGTTGGGGCTCAGATCGCCCGACCACGTCCCGGTGCTCTGCCGTCGGATTTGTGACTCCGCCGCACCGCGCCGCGGCCGGGGGCCCTCCGGAGGCCGAGGATGGCCGTGACGGACCGGGACGAGCTCTGGGAGGTTCAGTGGCAGTGTATATATTGTAGAGACCAACCATGTCCACAATATCTCTCAGTCTAGCTAAGCCAGGGAAGGCGATGCCGGGGCCATACAGCAGCTTGATGATGTTTCGCCGGCGTTAACTTCAAACAAAGCCACCGCACACGCCGCGACGCGGCGCGTGCGGTAGGCACTCGGGATTTTGTCAGATCGGCGTGTTCACGCCGGGATCGTGTCCTGACTAACCTGGGCAGACTTTAGGCTTGGACAGTATATCTCGAGACCTCGAGAGAAGGCCGCCCGCAGGCAATCGCTTAGGCGGCTCCCGTGGTGTACCTGTGTTAGTGCCAGTGCGCGCCAGTCCCGTGCCCAGTGTCGTGCGACGGAGTTTGCTTGTAAAATTATTGGCTGGTAAAATTCTTTTATGAATGCGCGCCAGTCCCGTGCCCAGTGTCGTCCGAGGGACATTCGAAAAATTCTTTTATCAATGGTGTACCTGTGTTAGTGCCAATGCGCGCCACAGTCAGTCCCGTGCCCAGTGAGCAGTGTCGTCCGAGGGGGTTTGCTTGTAAAATTCTTTGCCTGGTAACATTCTTTACCAATGCGCGCCAGTCCGTGCCCAAAGAAAAAAAGAAAGAAAACAGAGAACCCAAGGGAGGGATGGGAGGACGGCACGCCGCCACCACAAGTCCCGTGCCCTTGGAGCACTTGGAGTGCAGTCGGTAGCCTCACATGCAGCCCGGTAGCAGTACTCGAGTAAAATTCTTTATCAAAACGGCGCAGAGAAAGCCGCGGCTCCAAAATCCTGCTCGTGCAGGTGTGGACCCTGATCCCTGTCCTCCTCCCCTATCGTCCCTCGTTTGGCCTGCCTGTTTTCTTTCTTTCCTGTGTTAGTGCCAGTGCGCGCCAGTCCCGTGCCTAGTGTCGTGCGAGTGAGTTTGGTGAAAATTTCTTCTTTCAGTCCGCGCCCTTGTCGTGCCAGTGTGCGGTGAGAGGGCGCCGTCGAATTCTTTCTTTCAGAACGCCGCGGGTAGCGAAGGGAAGGGAGTCGGGAAGGCGCCCCGCTGTCGTCATCGTGGCGACGGACGTCCCGGGCGGCGCCATGGAAACAAGCGTCGCGGCCCGGCGGCGCCCCGGTGTCCTCGTGGCGACGGCTCTCCTCCTGGCGCTGCTCTGGTCGACGGACGTGCGCCCGCCTCAGCGCATAAATGATGTCACACGGGTGTATGACGCTCTCCTCGGCGACGAGCGAGAGACCTTTATCGACGAGAGTGGGCAGCAGATTCAGATGTCGTGCCACCCGATGTACCGATGGCTGGACAGGCTGATGCAGGGCATGATGCAAAAGGTGATCGGCGACGTCAGGCACTCGCGCCGCATCAAGACCCTACCCTTCAAGGCGACGGTCCACGTCGGGCCGTCAGAGACGGACATCGAGTCGATGCACCTCCAGGACGTGCGCGTAGCACGCGTCGACTTCACCGACTGCCGCACGGCACGGGAGCAATCGCTCTCCTTCCTGCCGCGCATGCTTCCCAACGTCATAAAGATGCGGGTCCGCGGCATCAACGTGACGCTCGATTTCGAGTTCGACACAACCATATTCGGCTTCGAGGCGCAGGCGGGGCAGGCGCGATCGACGGTCGTGGGAGAGATGAATCTCACGCTGGCGCTCCTCACCTACGACGACTGGCACGTCTCGGACTGCTCCGGAGAGTTTGCCATCCAGGAGACGCACCTGCTCGGCGATTACGGAGACACGGGCGTGCCGGTGCCAAACGGCCTGCCGATGGCAGAGCTGATGTGCTACGGGCCAGGCGGCGCACTCGGCGCGCTCGGCTCGCTGGTCGGCTTGGAGCTGCAGCCCGGTGGCGGTGCCGGCGGCGGCGGTGCCGGCGGCGGCGGTGCCGGCGGCGACGGCGAGGCCAGGGACGGCGGCGGCGAGGGCGGCGGCGATCAGGAGGCCTTCACAGGCTTGGTGCCGATGATCAACAAGAGGCTTCGCGAGGTTGCGCCCGGCTTGCGCGAGACGGCGCAGAGCGGGCACATCGGCTTCCGCGAGACGGCCAGCTCGCTCGAGGGGCTGGTACCGTGCTTGGGCCTCTTTCGCTCCTGCTCCGGCGCGCGGCAGCCGCCAGCGGCGCCCCCGCTGCCGCCCCCGCCGCCCCCGCCGCCGTGCGCTGGCTGCCTCTACCAGGGCGCCTGCCGTGACTTGGCTCGTTACCCGACTGCGAGTGAGCGGGAATGCATCGGCAACGGCGGCACGTGGGGCGGTCCGCCGCCGCCCCCGCTGAGCGACCACCGCGGCCACTTCCCTCACTACGCGGGCGGAGGCTACTATGCGGGCGGAGGCTACTATGCGGGAGGCTACTTCTGGGAGAGGAGGCCACCGGCTTCGCCGCCTCCTCAGCTACCGGCGACGGCCGCCTTTGGCTGGATCGGAGGGCTTTGGGGCTCGTCGGCTCCCTCCTCTCCGCCGCCGCCGCCTCCGCGAGCGCCTCCCGATCCTCCGCTGCCGACGCCAGATCCGTATTCCGCCGAGTCCGCTGGGTACGCCCGTCCTGCTTTCTACGGTGGCGCATACACGCAGAGCATGCGCAGGTACAACCATTACAGCCTGTACAGCTACGGAGGAGGCCGCCGCGGCGGTGGCTACAGCGGCCGCGGTGGTCGAGGATCGGGGCGTCTAGCTGTCTGGGGCGGGCGGGGTGATGCTTATTGGCGGGGCGAGCGGGGCGTCTAGCGCGCCGGCGCGAGTCCCGCCGCGTCGGGTGGTCCGTGCTGTGGTGTGGTGGAAGTAGTGAATTGCCCTTCGACTAGCTAGTGGTGGGCAAAAGAGTCACTGTGTACTGTGTTTCTTGGTGTCTGTTTGGTGTGTTCATCCACGGGTTTTCTGTGTATTATGTTTGCAATCCCCATTTCGGGACTTTCGCGCGCAGAGATACACGAGACACACAGGACTCACACACTCATACACACACAGAGTCGCACTTCACCTTCAGGGATACGTGATACTCACCTGCAGCAACAGCTCGGCTATACCGACTACTCTAGCAACTACTAGTCCGGGCGCAAGAGGGGCAAAACGGTTAATAAAAGGGAAAAGCGGACTGTGTGCGCCGAATAAATCCCGGTGGGGTGGAAGAGCGTAGACTGCATTGTGTGAGCTACAACACGAGTCGAGTAACTCTTGCAGCTCTTGTGATACGAAGGACTAGCGGCTTGGATCATCCCTCCCGTTGGTGCATGCGGCCGCCCACCCAGCAGTGTTGCCGCTCGGGCAGCTTGCGCCGCCCTGCCCGGGGTACCAGTCCTTTCCGGTGTTGCACGGGCCACTACTGAACTCCCAGCGCCGTTGGTGGTCGTCGAACAGTAGGTAGCGCCTGCCCTTCTTGTAAACCGGCTTGTCGCCACACGCGCTGCCTGTCTTCCTCCACCAGCCGTTGTACCAGCGGTTCGGGTGGCTTGAGATGGCGTACTCGTTGCAGACGCAGTCAGACGACGATACCGGAGGCAGAGGCGAAGGAGAAGGCAGCGGCGGCGATGGAGAGGGAGGCGGCGGCGGCGAGGGCGAGGGAGGTGGCGGCGATGGAACGGGAGGTGGGGGTGGTGACGGGGAGGGAGGGGGCGGTGACGAGACCGCCAGCGGTGGCGGCGATGGAGAGGGAGACAGTGGCGGGGGGAGGGTGGACGGTAGCAGTGGCGGTGGCGAGGGCGATGTCGGTGGAGAGCGAGAGGGGCTCGACGCCTCGAGGCACGACAAGGTAGCGTCGTCGAGGTCGTTGAAGAGCAGCTTGTTGGCTGTGTCGGATGGGAGGCCGCTAATGGCATCGGGCGTGGCAAAGCAGAGCAGCGCAGCAGTGACCTGGTCGGGAGCCAGGTCCGGGCGCATTGCCCGGATCTGCGCCGCGACGCCCGCGACGTGCGGGCACGCCATGCTCGTCCCCGAGATGGTGGCGGTGTCCGAGTCTGAACCGACCCATGCCGCCTGCGGAGGGCATGTTGGGAGAGAGCGGGTGGTGGAACTGCTTGGGACGAGCATCACGACCGAGGTGCTCACGAGGGCAGGGCGGGGGAACAGGGCGGGGGAAGGGCGGGGGAACGGGCAACCACCGTGATTCGGGACCCCGGCGCTTGAATGTCGACACACGGGCCGTGGCTGGAGAATGGTGACTTTGAGTCGCTTTGGGTGGTTGAGCCGACGGTGACTGCGAGCGGCACGGAGGCGGGCGAATAGCCGCATGCATCGTCGTTGGAGTTGCCTGCAGCAGCAATTGTCAGGACGCCCTCGTCGTAGGCGGCGCGGATTGCGTCGTCAAAGACGCCGACTTGGTTCGTACCCAGCGACATCGAAATTATCGCGGGCAGACCGCGCTCCTTCGCGTCGTCGACCGCCCACTCGATGCCCGCGATGATGCCAGCGTGCGAGCCACGGGCTCGCGGAGCGCAGTTCAAGACCTGGCGGCGGTGAGGTGGCGGTCAACGAGGGCATCGGTTGAGGGACGCACAGCGGCATAATGGCAACGATGGGACAGCCTGGACAGTGACGATGATGGTCCCTTCGGCGACGCCATGATTTGAACCGCCAGCAGTCGAGGCGCAATGTGTGCCGTGGCCGTTGCACTGCGATGTCTCTGCGGTGATTTCGCCCTGGTACAGCCAACCTTGGGAGGCGTCGCCGCACCCATGCTCGGAGCCGGTGGGGCAACCGGCCGACCAGCCGGCCTCAGCGCGGCCGCCAAAGTCCTCGTGAGAGACGCGGACGCCCGTGTCGAGGATGTAGACCACGGCGCCTGCTCCAGTGGCGCCAGAGTCGTCGTACGAGCCATCGGTTCCGGAACGCGAGTCGATGCGGTCGATGCCCTGTTTCGAGACAGAGCGGTGGGTGTCAGTGCCTCTGTGGTTTTCGAGAGAGTGACTGACTCTGTGGCGGCTCAATCGGGGCCGCAAGAGCTAGCGCCACTCACCCAGCTCCAGCCAGGCGAGAGGCCCCGGCTCGCGATCTCATCGGGGCTGATCTCGACAAAGCAATTCGGAAGGACCGATTGAATTGCCGGGTCGAGATGCAGAGCAGCGGATATGTTGCCGTCGATCCGCGCGGCGACAGCCCTGGTAGGGGGGAGAGCACACAGGAGGTCAGACAGGAAAGGCCGAGAAGGAGACGCTGACGTTTCTCATCTCGCCTGATTGAGGGTAACTCATGGAGGATCGTAAAGCCGCCGGACAGCCCGTGGTACAGCGCGTCGATCTTGTTGCGAAGCGCGGGCACGGGATTCTCGCCCGAGCGGAAGGAGTCGTCCTTCAGTTTGATGATGACGCCGTCGGCGCCGTTCTCGCAGCTCTCGTCAACCTTGACCTTCCCTGACTACGGACGTGGGCGGGGAGCGGATGCAGATGCCGTGGGCGGCGGGCACTTTGGAGGTTAGCGCTGTGCTTCACCTTGTGGACTGCGTCCTCGCTGACGGCGAGGCCACGGCTCACGCTCACGGAGGCGGCAAGGGTGAAGAGAGTGAGCATGGCACTGTGACTCGATGCTCTGCTGTCTGAGGACGCGTCAGTTGCGCCCGCCGAGATCCCGCGCAAGGTTGCAATCCGCAGCGATGGCGCGGCCTTTCGTAAGGACGCCGCGTTACCACTTGGCGAAACTGTCCCGGACGCAACGAAAAATAGGCTTTCTGTGAAGGGGGTTGGGGGGGGGGGGGGGGCACGCGGGTCGCGGCGGGAGGCGGAGGGCGTGGTCCGCAAAAGGGATATTTACACCCACACCCACCCACCCATAGTGCATCCATCCACTAATATATGCAACCATCCCAGGGATCAGAGACAGAGTCTGGCAGACTAGAGCACACGAGAGAGCGCATGAACGTAGCAGGCCAGCGCACCCCGGGGCTCTCTTTTTCACCTTCGTCTAGCTATAAGAAAATCCTACTATCGTGACGGACGAGTTTCTACGTATTTCGGCACACACTAGAACAAATCAAGGAGGAGAAAGGGGACGCGACGAGACCAGGGAGAAGCGAGCGACGAGGGCAGCCGCAGAGTGCCGAAGATCAACCTGGGCCATTGCGGGACGAACCGGGGCGGATCGACCGCTGCATGAAAGCCCAGATCTCGTCGTGCCAGTTCGAGGGGGACCAGTGCCCCGCCCTCGTGTCGATGCATTCGATCACCTCGACACCCATCTCGCAGCCCGACCATTGGACACAGTGAATGGTGTCCGACGCGACCGGGTAGAAGCTGTGGCCCTCGCTGGCGTTGCGCAGGACGCCATTGCAGGGGTCGTAGCTTGGCGCCGCCGTGCAGCCCGCCGCGGCGGCCCAAGCAGAGGTGGCGTTGCGCGCCGTCGAGTAAAAGTGACCCGTGTAAGCGGTGTCCAGGGCGGTATCGGCGTTGCCCGTGTGCGCGTCGACAACGCCTTGGGACCCCGGCCCGTTGTAGCAGGGCGGCATGGTGGTGTCGGAGTGTCCCCACACGGCCAAGAGCGGGACGGGCCTGTGCTGAAGACCCTGTCCTCGTCGATACAATGCCCCCCCACCACCTCGGCGAGCACTGCCAGCGTCTGTGCCACCGAGTCCTGGCACGTCGTCCACCAGCAGTTGTCGGCGCACGCGCCGCATGAGTCCGAGTAGCAGAAGTCCTGGGTTTGGGGCAAACAAGTGGCTCCGAGTGCGGAACGGGGCGACTGCGTCGAGCCGGCGCCGTTCCACGACCTGCGGTTCCACCATTTGCCGTCTCTGTATCCCGAGATGGAGACGACCGCATAGCCCGAGACCTTTCCGTGCTGGTGAAACTCGCTGCCAGAGGGCGACGATCGCGACTCGCCCCAGCCGTGGTGGTGCATGAGAAGCGGTCCGGGCGTGCTCGGGTCATAGCTGTTCGGAAGCGAGAGTCGGTTCTCGACGGAAAGGAAAGACACGGTGGTACGGAGCGTGTAGTCCCTAACCTCGCCCGGACGGTGGTGGCCGGCGGTCTGGAGGCCGCAGCCGGAGGTTGGAGCGAGTGTGGCTACGAGCATAACTTTTGGAGCATGACCTAGCTGGCGACGGCTCCTCCTTGGCATCGCATTTTTCGTCGGTCTGACACGCTCTGATGATTTTTTAATTGTAAGAGGTGATCAAACAAAAAAACACAATGCCGGTACCTTCCAAGAAGTTTCCGCACGAAGTTTCCATGCCGTGCTCGAGCCCACCTCCCGTACATCTCTTGAGCATGAACGTCCAGGAGACACCCTCCACCACGGACGTCGAGATTGGAGGCATCCGCACGCGCGGCTCCTTCCAAGCCGGCCAGAGTGAAACGCGCGTACCAATCACGTTCAAGGATCTGAAGGCGCCGCGCTCGCTACTTGCACTGCGCCCTCGCGCGCTCCCTGCGCGTGAGGCCCCTCCCATGCGTCGCCTCGCAGTATTCGGTGCGCACTAAGAAGGAGGGCACCAAGGTAATCCTGCAGGGTCTCACCGGCCACTTTCGTGCCGGCCGGCTGACCGCCCTCTTTGGGAGCAGCGGGTGCGGGAAGACATCCCTGATGGACGTGCTCGCCGGGCGGAAGACGACGGGCACGATCGTGGGCGAGGTCCGCTTCAACGGCGCCACGTGCTTGAAGAAGAACATCAAGCACCTCTGTGGCTATGTCGAACAGTTTGACAATCTCGTTGAGGCGCGCAAAGCGCCATCGATATCAACTCGCGACAGCGGCATACAGCACTGCCAGCCAGCCTATTCCTCCTCCTCAAGGGCTGTACTATGGCCATATTGCGCCTCGTCACACAGTCGGTTGTGCGGTCAGGTGCTCAGCGTCGAGCAGATGCTCATGTACACCGCCGAGCTCAAGCTGCCCGCGCTGACGCGGGCGCAGAAGCGCGAGCGGGTGGAGGAGGTAATCGCGCAGCTGCGTCTCGAGGGCTGCCGCAAGACGGTCATTGGCGGCGAGCTCGTCAAGGGCATCTCGGGCGGGCAGAAGAAGTGCGCCGTCGTCCGCCCTCCCGCCTCAGTGGCGCGGCACAGCGCCCCACGACACGTCCGCGGCACGGCCGTCGCAGGCGTGTCAACATCGGCCTCTCGCTCATCACGCGGCCGCCCGTCCTCTTCCTCGATGAGCCAACGACCGGCCTCGACTCGGCGATGGCGGACGAGGTGTGCGCAGTCATGTCCCTCCTCGCCGCGCAGGGCCGTACCGTCGTCGCGACCATCCACTCGCCGACTGCGAGCGCCTTCTCGCTCTTCGACGACCTTCTCATGCTGCGCGACGGGCAGCTCGTCTACGCCGGAGAGTGCGGCGACGCCGCCGCCGACTACTTTTCGAAGCGGGTCGGGCTGCGGCCGCTCGAGATGGGCGAGTCGATGCCGGAGTGAGCTCGCCCCTCCCAGAGATGCGCTGGGCCCACCCGGCTCCCGGACAGCAGCTCTAGGATGCGAGCTCACCCGAGACCACCCGAGGCCACCGAGACCCCCCGAGATCACCCGAGGTAGGTGGCTGGTGGACGCGATGAGCCCGCACGCAGTCGTCGATGACAAGCTCCTCTCGCACAAGGCGCGACCTCGGGAAACCTTGGGCTCACCTCAAGCTCACATCGGCTCAGCTCGGGCTCAGCCCGGCTCAGCTCGGCTCAGCTCGGCTCACATCGGCTCAGCTCGGCTCATCTCGCGCCTCCTCCCACAAGGCGCGCGCGCTCGCCGCGAAGCGGGCGCGCGGCTCGGCGGCCGGCGACGCCCTCGCCACCGCCACTCTCGCCGCAACCTTTCGGGAGAGCGACGCCTGGACCAGTCTCGAGGCGGAGCTGGCGCTGGCGCACGGCGACGGCACCAAGCCGCCGGTGGCGGTGCCGGCGCACTTGCGGCGTGCGTCGCCGCTGAGGGTGCCGCCTCCCCTCGAGCGGGCAGCGGGAAGAGGAATGGGCGCCCATCGGTGACGCGTCCGCGGCTCACTCTCCAGGCGATCCTCATCCTGCTTAAGTACCGCGCGCTGACCGACTACCGCGACCCCGTCTACTTGGGGCCGCGCATCGGCGACAAGCTCGTCTTCTCGCTCATCGTGCTCACGCTCTACCTGGGCGAGGGCGGCGAGATGGCGCCCGCAAAGGTGCGAAGTCTCGAGCAATCTCTAGCCGTCTCGGGCCCTCTCGGGCCCTCTCGGGGGTTCGAGAGAGCGCCTGCAAAGGCGGCTCCACTTCGGCGAGATGGCGGCTAGGCCTCTCTCCACGCAGTCCCGTCGCTGACGCCGCGCGTGGCGGGTCCCTCAGGTCGCGGGCGTCACTGGCATACTCTTCATGGTGACGGCGCTCTGCGGCTACGGCGCCGCCTCGGTGGCGCCCTCGCTCGCCCTCGGCTTAGTAGGGCCCTCGCTTGACCCTTCTCGGAACCTTCCCCCGCGCAGGTGGTGCCCTCGCTCGTCCTCGACCGGCCGCTCTTCTACCGCGAGACAAACGATGGCTGCTACGGCCCCTTCGCCTACTTCACGTACAAGATCATCCAGGAGCGCCCCCGCCTGATCCTCGCTGGCCTGATCCTTCCTTGGCCACCGGCCTAGCCCTCGCCTGGCCCGCGCTGCCAACCCCTCACGTCACCCTTTGCCCCGAGGACCCTCCCCTCGCCAAGTCGCCGACCGGCGGCGCCCTCTCGCTCTGGTGCCGCAGGAGGGCTTCCTGTGCGTCTTCACGTCGCTCCTCTTCACCGTCGTCATCTTCTGGGGCGTGCAGTTCCAGGGCAGCTTCTTCATCCTGATGCTCTCCTACTACCTGGTGACAATGATCTCGATCGCACTCGCCTATGCCATCGCCTCGCTCGCGCCGACGCTCGAGGCGGCCTCCGCGATGCTGCCGACTTACGTCACCACGGTCATGTTCGTGGCGGGGCTCATCATGCTCACGGACGAGATCCCGTCGCAGTGGGCGTGGTACGGCTGGACGTCCTTCATCCGGTACGGCTGGGCGGCGATGATGAACAACCAGTTCCAGGGCCACCCGAACGGCGAGGCCAAGCTCTTCCTCGACGCAAACGGCACGGCCATCACCGTGCTCGACTTTTACGGCCTGCGCGGCCCGGTGCTGGGCGACAAGTGGGCGTGCATCGGCATGCTCGTGGCCATCTTCGCCGTCTTCTTCACGTGCGGCCTCGGCGTCCTCAGCAACATCCGGCACGAGCGAAGGTAGAGGCGAACCGCTCTCCTGCGGGACTCTCTTGTGTAAAAGCCGTAGCTTCGTGTCGGTCGCAGGTCGGGTGGGTGCCACTGTATATACGTGTGTGTGCGCGGGGGCGTGTCTCGGTGTGGAGCACCTCAGCGCGTGAGCGCGTATGTTGCGATGGTGTATGGTATCGTTCACCATTGGTATCTGACCATTTATTATGCCACCGAGCACCGTCGGCGTCGCTCTAGTGTCTAGAGAGCGGCCGCACACTTTGACTTATAAGGTGTCGGTAAGGTCACTGCTCGGTACCCCCCCTGTGGGGGGTGCTGGCCGATCTCTGTACAGACAGCTGTAAGTAAGTATTAGCGTTCCAGCGGCGAGAATTTATGGTCGGCACCAAACACAGTGGTCTCACGGCGTACCCTCCTACTGCCAGCCAGGCGGCGCGGTGAACACAACCGCCTCGAGCGTACCGCTCAAACACGAGCCGAGGGGGGAGGGGGCGGCGGCGGCGAAGAGGCAGGAGCTGGGTCCAGTGCGCTCTGCTGCTGGGGGGGTCAGACCCCCCCCCTAAAGTAGCAGCAGGGATGGCTTTAGATGTGTGCAGGGGGGTACCGAGCAGTGTGCGGCCGCTCCAGAAAAGCATACTTTAGTAGCGATTCGGATAGCGACCGCGGTGTGGCATCGACCATCGTACTACGAATCGTATACTGTTTGGTGTAACCCCACATACGTGGCTGGGTTCACAGCGATTGTAGGAAAGTGTCGGGAACACTTGACGGTCGCGGCCTTCCGACTCGCGCCTCCGCCTCACTGGCACTATTGTAGCCCTGGCCGGTGCGCGTGCGGAGTTGAAGTTCCGGAGTGAAAATTCGAACTGTTGTGTTGATAGTCCTCGGTGTACACAAAAGCAAACGGTCAGGTCAAAACCAGTTCGTCGAGGGCTGTGAGCTCCGCCCCTCGCCCCGCGCGACGCGTTACGGTGGTGAAGCGCTGGTCGTTGACCTGCACGACAGTGCTGCGGGGGCCGACAACACTTCCGACGCTCGCCGTGTAGCTCTCGCCTCCGGCCGCGAGATCGACGCGCGTCGCCGCGGACGCGCAGGCGGCGAGCACGCCGGGCGGCTCCGCGAGCCGGTCGAGGGCGGCCAAGTCCGCGGTGTAGGGCGGCGGCGGCGTGGCGAAACCGGCCCCTCTTGTGTGCAACCGCACCGCTGCCGCCGCCGCCTGCGCACGGTGTGAGCGCTGCGCCCGGTACAGCGCCCGCGCGAGCGCCCTCGCCGGCCACTCGTCGTAGGCTGGCCGGGACGCGGCGGCGGCGGCGCCTCCCTCTGCGAACTGCACGATCGCCCACGTCTCGGGCTCGTGCATGGCAACCTCGCCCTGAGGCGACCACACCCAGTTGTCCTCGTGCGCCGAGCCTACCCCGTCCAAGCCGCCGCCGCGTGGAGCAGCGGAGGGGAGGCGAGAGCGCGGAGGTGCCGGCCGGTAGTGTGTAAGGAAGAGGCGAGGAGACGAGGAGGCGAGGTGAGGAGAGAGGTGGGGAGGGGGCGAGGGGGCGAGGGGGCGTGGTGAAGGGAAGGGGGGAGGAGGCGGCGGGGAGGAGGGAGGGGGGAGAGGAGGGGAGAGCCTGGCTGCGCGCACGACTGGCACGCCGGCGCCTTGACGTACCTCCCGGTCGCCTGGTCCACCTTGAGGGCCCACTGCACGCGCGAGAAGTTGATGCGCCAGAAGACCCCGTCGCGCGGCCGCTGGTCGGCGCCTGCGGTGCAGAGCGCCTCTTCTCACCCGTGGGCGTGGATAAGCGACACGCTCGCGCGGCGCAGTGTCGGCGCCTGCGTTGTGCGCCATCAGGCCGTCGAGGGGAAGAGCCACTTCGACCGACCAGCCGCCTGCGCGAGACGGACCCCGGGGGATGTGTGGGAGGTGTTGGGGAGGGCGGCGCGAGGCAGGGTGGCGGGCTGGCGGGGGCTGGCGGTTGGTGAGAACGGCGAGAACGGCGAGAGCGGCATGAGGCAGTGGCACTAAAAGTGTGTGTGTGTGTGTGTGTGTGTGTGTGCGCGCGCGCGCGCGCGCGCGTGTGTGTGTGTGTGTCTCACCGTCCGGAGGGCCGGCCGGCTGGTTGAGGGAGCCGTTCAGCTGGACCGCAGAGGCGAGCGGAGGCTGCCTACAGCCGTGTCATCGCCGAGCTACAGCCGAGATGCAGCCGAGGCCAGCATGGCCGCGAAGTGGCTGCATGTCGAAGCAGGGCGCGGGCGAGACCCGGCAGGAGATCTCGCCGCCACCGTCGCCGTACGGGCGAGAGAGCATGAGGTCCCACGTGGCGTTGTAGGCATTCATCTCGAACTCCTTGTAGCCGTGCGTTGTGGCGTTCGCGTCCACAAAAATCTCAAAATCGTTGTCGTGGAAGATCACCTCGTCGTGGCGCCGGAGCGTCGCCCAGAGCGGATCCTCCAGCTCGGCGCCGACGTACAGGAAGCGGTCGTCCCACGCAAGTTTGGCGCGGGTGTGAAGCCACGGCAGAGTCGGCGTCGAGATGTCAACAAAATCGCTTGTCCACGGCACGTGCTCCCAGGCCGCCTCGCGCAGGTTGCCGTCGAGATGTGGCGGTGCGGCAAATTTGTGCGCGACGTACTCCCGCGGCCGCAGCGCGGCAAAGGAGCAATCCATGGGTGAAGTCAGTGATTCGCCTTCCTGGTACCCAGCGCTGGCTTCTGATGTCGTTGCGGTCTCTCCAGACTGTCTGTGCTCGTGCGGTTGGGTGTTACTTTTGTTTTTGTGTGTACGCGCTGTGAACCGTTAGAATCGGGGCCGCATGCGTCCCCTGCCGTTCGTCGTCGTGGCGGTGCTGGCGTGCGCGAATGCTCAACATTCGCGCGGCACCGACTACGCGGCTCCCAAGAGCGCTGCGCACGCTGACGATGTGTCGATCTCGTCGTCTGCGATGCTTGGCAGCAACCACCTCAACAACACCCGCTTTATGAGCCAGCTCTGCACATCTCAACCTGTACCAACAGCACAGCTGGAATCGTGCCCTTCGGTGGCCGAGTGGCTGCCGGATCGAATCTCGACGTCTCGGTCCATGCTCTCGCGCGCTCCTCCTCCTCCGGCTCCTCGCTCAGATCGCCTGCCAGGTCGGCGGCTGCGACAAAAGGTTTGCGACTGCATTGGCATACAAGAACCACATCGAAAGCGAGCAGTGGCGAGCACACTGCGCACACACACGACTCACGAGAGGAGTCAGGAGAGCGAGACGGTGGAGGAGTGAGAGCGCGAGAGACGAGGTGCCGTTTGGAGCGGACGGACGCGCGCGGTCTTTCCCACGGAGTTCGTGCTGTTTTGGCGGGTCTGCACTGTCTCACACAGATGAGAGTAGAAAAGACTCGCACACGCACGGGCGACGGCACACCGCGCACCCAGGCGGCGCAGCTAGCACTGACTAATACGGTCTCGAGAGTAATAGGTGGGAGTGAGACGAATGCAGAACATGCGTGTGTACGTATATAGGCCCGCCGTCAGTGGCGCGCCTTGGCCTTGGCAAAGGCCTCTCCGATTTTGTCGAGCGTGGCCACCGAACGCTCGATGGCGGTGTCCACCGCCTTGACAGGTCCCGGGTCCTCGGATTTCGTCTGCACCTTGAGCTGGATCGCCGGCTCGAGGGGGTGGGGCACGCGATAGCCGCTGAAGAGTACCTCCTTGTCCTCCAGCAGCTCCCTGCCGCACACGCGCCCGCGGCTGAGAGCGCAAACGCCGGCGGCGCGGGAAACGCGGCGGCGGGCCACACACATGCGCAGCAGGTTGCCGACGGTGTGATCCTCGCGCTCGATGACCAGCGTCACCGCGTTGGGCACCATCGTGTCCTTTTGCACCGTCACCCTGGGATCGCACGGGCGGCGCCGCTGTCGCAGCGCGGGCGGTGCGACTGCGCGGGGCGCCGGGAGGGCTCACTTTTGCACGCTGTCGTCATCGGGGAGACGCCACACATCAAAGTCGTCGGGCTTGTTCTGCGGCGGGGCGAGGGGCAAGGCAAGTCGGTTTCGAGGGGAGCGGAGAGAGGCGCGCAGGCCGTGGTGCGCGCCATATATATATGGAGAAAGAGAAAAGAAGCGCAGTCGAGCTTCGAAAGGCGGCGGGAAAGTGGATGGAGAAAGAAAAAACGGCTCGCCGACTGTCGGTGTAAAGCGCCACCGCCACCGCCACCGCCACCGCCCCGGCCGCCGCCGCCGCCATTGTCCCTTTCGGAGAACGCCGCCGCCGGCGCCTCGCGCCCTTCTGGGAAGCTCCTCCGCCGCCACCCAACACTGCTTTCCGTGATTCTCTCATGGCGCCTGTCGCGCCCTCGCTGCATCATGCTCCGCCGCCCACACTCGAAGGCGGCCAGCTCGAGAACCCGACCGGCAAGCTGTGCCTCCTCACGGCGCTGTACGCAGTCCAGGGCGTGCCGTTTGCTCTGATCATCGGTACTCTCCCCACCCTGTTTGCCACGAGCGTCTCCGACGCCCGCATCGGCGTGCTCAGTCTCGGAGCGTGGCCATTTGCGCTCAAGGCGCTCTTCGCGCCTCTGGTGGACTCTTACTTCAGCCGGAAGGCCTGGGTCATCCCGTGCACGCTCGCCAGCGGCGCCCTGTGGCTGTGGCTCGGCCACACGATCGAGGCGCTCGTCCTCTCGAGAGACACCACGTCCCTGGCCGCCGCACTCTTCGCCGTCGTCCTCCTCCTCGCGGCGCAGGACGTCGCCGTCGACATCTGGGCGCTCGAGCTGCTCCCTGCTCGCAGCCGGCCATACGCGCCTGTCTGCCAGACCGTCGGAATGGGCGCCGGCAACCTCATCGCCCACCCGCTTCTCCTGCTGCTCTCGTCGTCGCGGCTGCGCGACCCGCCCGTCCTGACCCTGCCGCGCTTCCTGTGGCTGCTCGGCCCAATCCACGCCGCGCTCGCCCTCGCCGCGGCGCTGCAGCCCGAGCCGGAGCGCACTCGGCCGCGGCCGAGCCTGCGCCGCACCCTCGAGTCTCTGCGCGCCGTCGCCGCGACGCCGACCACGCGGCGGATCGGCGCCGCCTGCCTGCTGCAGCGCGTCGGCGTCGCCGCCCTCGACGGCTGCTCTCTCACGCAGTACATGCGGCTGCCCGGCGCGAGGCAGGAGCACATCGCCTGCCTCGCAGCCTTGCAGGCGCCTGTCGCGCTGGCCGCGGCAGTGTACGCCGGGCGGCTGGTCGCTCGCAGCGACCGCCCCGCCCCCGAGGCAGCGCGGGGGCAGATGCGAACCGGCTACCTCCTGCTGGTGGCGAGCTCGGTGGCCGTGCCCGCGCTGCTCTGCACGCACCGCGTCGGCTCGGCGGGCTCGACCGCCGGCCTCGTCGTCGCCACCTCCGTCTTTCTGACTGCCAACAAGCTCTGGTGGACCGCGCAGGGCACCCTGTTTAACGAGGCCGTCGTCTCGCCCGAAGGGGGGCCCCCACGCGCCGCCGCCGCGTCCCACCTCACACTCCTCAACTCCCTCTCCAACGCGGGCAAGATGTGGCCCGTGCCGGTGGCGCTCGCGGTGTCCGACGCAGTCGGCTACCGAGCCGCGAGCGGCACGTGCGCGCTGGCGGGCCTCGCCGCCTTGCCGCTCATGTGGAGGCTGATCGAGCAGCGTCGGCGGTCGGCCGAGCACCAGCGGACAGTGGAGATGGGGGTGGAGGAGCGAGCGCCGCTCAACCCGTTATGATGCTATTTGAACCGACGTTCTTGCAGTTTTGACGCGGAGGATGACGCGCGCGCCGCACACATATATCTGAGATCTCGTGTGCCCGTGTGTTATTACTTATTTTGCAAGTGGCGATGCCTAACTCTCTCCTTTCACACAACGCATGCACCTTCCTTTCCTTCATCAAAGTCCGCCTGGCGGCCCGTGGTCTCGAGAGCGAGCTCATGCAACATGTCAGCGTCGTAGTCGCACACCCACACGGCGACGGAACCGTCCGCCGCCTCGCCGGCGGCGAGGCCCATCAGGCGAGAGCGTCCGGGAGGCTCGAAGACGGCGACGGGCTCCCCGGCGGCGGTGAGAGCCTGCACGCGGCGGCCCGAGAACTCCGACACGAAAATGGTGCGGTCGCGGCCGACGGCGACGCCGACGGGGGCGTGGAAGAGGCCTGCGGTTCGGCAGTCGGGGGAGGGAGGGGACGTGGGACGAGAGGGGCAGCGAGAGGGGGGGGGGGGGGGGACCTGTCGTGCGGCCGCAGCCGCCAATCACGCGGCTCGGCTCGTCGGAAGGAAGAGCGGCTCGGCCCTGCCCGCCGGAGGGAGGGAGCGCGAAGGCGCGGAGGCAGTGCGCCCCGTGGTCCGCAACGATGAGCTCCGCACTGCCGTCTGCGGCGGTGGGCAGGGAGGGGGTGGGAGCGGGAGCCGCCCCCTTTTCCCGCCTTCCCAGAGCTAGCCGGCGCTGTAGCGCGGGCCCCTGCGACGGCCGTGCTCTGCTGTGTGGCTGTGTGCTCTGGCAAGTCGCAAGGTGTGCCGGACGGCGCGCGCTCTCTGGCGTCGGCGCCGTGCAGCAAGTCCAGTGCGACTCGTGGCGCGCGGGAGAGGGAGAGTGGGGGCGGCGAGGCGCGCGCCGTCGCGTGCGGGCAGCAGCGCCAGGCCGGCGGGGAGGCGCAGGTGGCCCGTGCCAAAGGAGCCGATCCGCGCGAGGCTCTCCGACGCGTCGATCGCAACCACACGCCCCGGCTGCTCCTCGCTCGCCCCGCCGACATCGCTCACGTACAACACACCCTCGTGCAGCAGCGCGCCCCACGGGTGCACCAGCCCGCTATGCATCCCCCGCGCCTGCGCCGCGCAGCGCGAATCGGAAACGCCACCACCGACGCCGCACTCGCCCGCGGCCGCACCCGAGTCGGCGCTGTTGCCGCAATCCTCGCCCCCGCCGCCGTCGCCGTCGCCGCCGCCGCCGCCGCCGCCGCCGCCGCCGCCGCCGCCGCCGCCGCCGCCGCCCGCCTCTGCGGCGCCCCCTTGAGCCAGCGCAGCGGAGCCCTCGCAGAGACGTGGCACGTCGAGGCGCTGCACGCGGGCGTTGCCTACCGCCGAGATACCGCCGAGATCGGGACGAGATCGGGACGAGATCGGGGCCGCGCCGCGTGCGAGCTGATGCCTCGCTCGACGACGTAGACGACGCCCAGCCCTCGCGCGCCCTTTGGCCCACCGCCCTGCTCGTGCCGCCGGGCCTCGCACACCGCGACGTCGGTCACGAAGTTGAACGCGCCGGGCCCGCTGCCCAGCCGGCCGTACACCCACAGCAACTCGCCCACGGCGTCGCCACACGGCTCGGAGGGAAAGGCATCGCCGCCCTCGTCAGCGCCGTCACCGCCGTCGCCGGCATCACCGCCGCCCTCGCCGCCCTCGCCGCCCTCGCCGCCCTCGCCGCCCTCGCCGCCCTCGCCGCCCTCGCCGCGGCACGGACTCCGCCGGAGCGGCCGCCCGTGCCACTCGACCCGCTGCAGACGGCACGCGCCGCCGTCCGCGACGAGGATGGAGCCTAGCGGGAAGGTTGCGAGAGGGGTCCGAGAAGGTGCAAAGCACGCGTCGCCGTCCGCGGCGAGCAGGGGAGTGCCGTCGGCGAGAGGCCTCGCCACCGACGGCAGCGAGAAGCGGCCCGGGTCGAGTCCTGGAGGAGGAGGAGGAGGAGGAGGAGGAGGAGGAGGGGTGGAGGGGAGGAGGAGGAGGGGTGGAGGGGAGGTGGAGGAGGGGTGGAGGGGAGGTGGAGGAGGGGTGGAGGGGAGGTGTCTCGGGGGGAGCCGCACCGTAGCCGCCCCCGCTTGCGCGCAGCGTCAAAAAGGCGCGCGGGGCGGCGCAGCAAGGCGTGAGCGTCCCTGCCGCCGCCGCCGCCGCGTCAGCCTCGCCCGCATCGCTAGCGGGCGAGGCCGCTGCCGGATTGCGCGGCGCGCACGGGCCTTCAGCCCCTCCGCCGCGGTCGGCCGGCGGTGTCGCGCAGCGGTCGGGAACGCCGCTCTCCTCCCGGGAGCTGGCCGCCAGGCAGCCGCACCTGTGCGCCAGGCGCCGGCACCAGTCCTCCTCGGCTGCACCTCGGCGGCATCTCGGCGGCATCTCAACTGCGCAATGTGCTGTGGATGCTGCGCGAGCTCTGGAGCAGAGCGGCGGCGTGAGTGCTGGGGCTGCGTGTGGGGACAGTGCTGGGGCCGCGCACAACATCATGTCTGCCGAACTCCTCCTGCTCGTGGTCTGGCTGGACGGCTGCGTGGCGGAGTGGGTGGCGGCGAGCGAGGCGACGAAGGAGGAGGAGGAGGAGCGGCGAGAGCGCGAGCCCTCCGAGCCGGGCCCCGACAGCCGCTGCCCGCGGAGCGAGAGAGCCGCGAGCAGCTTTGACGACGCGGCCGACCAGAGCGCAGCAGCCTCGCGCGCGGGCTCGCTGGGCGGCGTCGGCAGCAGCACCGGACCCTCGCCCATCGGCCGCAGCACATGCAGCTTGAGCACGCCCTCCACCGGCGGCGTGTCGCCCCTCGAATCCAGAAGGTGCTCGATGCCGATTGCACCACTGTAAATCTCACACCGGCTGGGCGCCACCACCGGCGTGCCGTTGACGGCGGCGAGCAGGTCGCCTGGCCGAAGCTGCTTCTCGGCCGCAGATCCGGGCGCAACGGAGCTTATGAGAAGAGGCTCCTCCTCTGCCTCGCCAGCCGCCCCAGATCCTGTGAGCTGCAAGCCGAGAGGAGGCTCACCCGGCCGTGGCACCGGCAGCACGACCTCGAGCGCACGCAGCGGCACGCCAGACGCCCAGAGGCCCGCGTCGTCGTGGAGGTCGGAAGGCATAGGTGTCGCTGCGAAAAGAAATAAGAAGTACCGCGCGAGCAAAGCCCTCCGGGGGCCGCTCCCCTCTGCGCCGGGGAGGTGTTGTTGGAGGCTAGGACGCAAGCGTCCGTCGCCGTTTTCAAACTCGGGGCCCGCTCCGCTACGCTCCGACCCGAATTTGGAGGGCCATGAAATTTAAGGTGTTGCTGCGCAAAAGGGGTGGCGCGCGGGCGCGCGCGGCGGCAGGCGTCGAGCGCGGAGCGGCAAACACAATGACGTCGGAAAGCTCTGCATCAAGTATACAGTAGGCGCCAGGACGCGTGTGAGCACGTCGACGTCGAGCTCGAGCTGCTTGAGGGCGGAGAGATACGCCTGGGAGGGCGGTGAGGTGGCGGGGCTGGGCTGGGCGCGAGGCGAGAGGA